CATCATCATCACCACCACCACCACCATCATCATCATCAGCATCATCATCATCATCATCATCATCATCATCATCATCATCATAACCATCACCATCAGCAGCAGCATCGGCAGCATCATCATCAACATCAGCATCAGCATCAGCATCAGCATCATCATCATCAGCATCATCATCATCATCATCATCATCATCATCATCATCATCATCATAATCATCGTCATCAGCGCCATCATCATCACCATCATCATCAGCATCATCAGCATAATCTGCATCATCATCATAATCGTCATCATCGTCATCATCATCATCATAATCAGCATCATCATCATCATCATCATCATCATCATCATCATCATCTGCAGCATCATCATAATCGTCATCAATATCCTCATCATCACCATCATCATCAACATCATCATCAACATCATCATCATCATCATCATCATCATCATCATCGCCGCCATCATCATCATAATCGTCCCCCTCCCCTCATCATCGTCCCTCCTTCCACTCATTATCATCGTCATTATCCCTCCCCTCCCGTCACTCCTCCCTCCCCTCCAGCCCCTCCTGCTGCCGCTGCTTCCCTTTCCGCTCCCCAGAAGACATAAAGAGAGCGAGGAAGATAGAGAGACAGAGACAGAGACAGAGAGAGAGAGAGACGCACGCACGCACGCACAGACGCACACACGCGCTCTGGCGGCCGCATGAAACGTAGACTGAAAGAGAAAACGCGCCGCATTGAATAGCAATATCCCTAATGAACCTTGGTGAACCTTGAGGAAGACGCCCAAGATGGCCCCCCAGGCCCCCCAGACGGCCCCAGACGGCTCCAAAGGACCCCCCCAGACGGCGAGTGGGACCCCAGGATGGCCCAAGAGGGCCCCCAGACGGGGGGGAATCGGGGGGAGGGGTTGGTTGGTTGGTGTGGGGGGGGGGGCTGGGGGGCCAGACCCGGTGTCTTTCAACAACAACAACAACAACAACAACAACAACAACAACAACAACAAGAATCCGCATCGCGTAATTCCACTTCAGCCACGCACCCAGGGACAGTGAATGACCGTTCGGTTCAGCTCCCTTCACTCGGATGTGTGTACGTACGTACATACATACATACAAGCATGCATGCATGCATGCATGCATGCATACATGCATGCATGCATGCATACATACATAAATGCATACATGCATACATGCAAGCATACTTACATACATACATACATACATACATACATACATACATACATACATGCATGCATACATGCATACATGCATACATGCATACATGCATACATACATTCATATGTACGCACATTTAAGCATACAAAAGATACATATACACACACATACATGCATACAGACAGACAGGCAGACATAGAGACAGGCAGACCGACGCACCGACGGAAATATATACATACATCCATATCTACATACATACATGCATACATGCATACATGCATGCATTACATACATTACATGCATACGTGCATGCATACATGCATGCATGCATACATGCATACATACAGGTACACCAACATGCATGCACACATACATATAGACATATTCACACATGCATGCATGCAGACAGACAGCCAGACAGACAGACAGGCAGGCAGACACACAGACATGCATACAAGCATACATGCATACATGACCTATAACTGTACAACTGAATGATCATACGTGTGTACATACATACAGACAGACAGACAGACATACATGCACGCATACACACATAGAGACAAATACCCACACACACAAACTGTCTGAGGTCCACGCGGGTTTCCTGGATCGGCGCTGAGCCCCCCTCACTGGCGCGCGCGAAGCGGCACAAGATGCGGGTCCAGCGGCACCGACCAAAGAAAACCGCGCGGAGCTCCGGATGTCTATGTGTGTAAACTGTTTCTTTTTCAAATTGTTCGGCGGCGGCGAGGCAGAGGCAGTCCGCACCAGCGTGGGGCGAATCGGGGCAACCGAAAGGCGAACTGGTTTGGTCTTCAGACGTCTGAACAGAAACCGTGGGACCCAGCGCGAGGCGGGCGGGTGCGTTGGGCCCCCCAGCGCCTGCTCGTAAGACCAAGACGCCGGCTTCTGCCGCATCAGCGGGGCTGGCGCCACGCTGTAGGTGCCCAGGCACCCGGGCGCCTCGCCAAACACGTCATCCGCCACGCCGAGGTGGGAGACCAGGTCACCCAGCTCCTCGGCGGATGCAAAATGGGCGGATATCCCACGGGAGCAAAAAAACACTCATATCGGCGCAGGGTTCCGAGGAAATCGCTCGAGTGTCACTGGAACCGCCCGAGAAATGACGCGACCCATCGGCCATGGAAGTGACGCCTCTGGGCGAACCAGGTCAAAACCTCGGACCTCCCAAGGCATCACCCCAGGGGACTCGGCCGACCCGAACGCTGACCAGACACCTCCTCTACATGTACGGCCAAACCTAGGACATAAGAACATCCTGCAAGAACATGAGACCCTCCGCTGGCCAAAACATCCCAAACCACAAGATCACCCGAGGGTACCCTCCCCCAGGATGCACGAAGAACATCCAACAAACACGAAGAACACTAAGGGTACCCTCCCCGAGCCGACCTCGATCTTATATCTCGGCCTGGCCGTACCCAGGGTGGCCTGTGGCCCCGTGCACTCGGCGAGGCTCCGCGACCCGCGTCTGGGCCAACCCGCCCCCATTTGTCGGTGGAGAGCCCGGGGGAGAAGTGAGAGGGGCCGGGCCTTCTCAGAAGGCTCGGAAGTCCCCCGGCCTTCTGCGAAATTGTCTGAGCTTTCCTCGCAAACACAAAGGACCTCTCAAAGGCGCGAGGGCTTCTGAGAAGTCCCGCCGCCGTCTTAGAAGGTTTTCTCCTTCTCACTTCCCCCCTCGCTCGCCGCCGAAACCCGCCCTTGTTTGCCCCCGCCCAGCTCCAGAACCGTGCCAGAGCAGTCGGCACCAGGCGGGCCCGGGTCGCCCGGGTAAAGCCTCGAGGGCAGCGGCTGGGGCAGCGGCAGCAGGAAGTTCGAAGGGCACAGCCCAGATATCTCCGACAAGGGAGGGGGGCGAGGTTCGAGGGCCACTAGGTCCGAGGAGATGTTTTGCCTTTTTCGGCCATTTGGGCCCGTTATCGGGCCCTGGGGCCGTCAAACACGGATCTGGGGTGAAAAACTGCACCAGATGGACCCTGGGAGGGGTCAGGGATTCGATTCTGAGCGGATTTGCCAACGAGGACCCCCCGAGGTCAGGACCCCTTGCGCGGGACCGACGTTTCACCCCGAGTCGCTTTTCCCAGCCATCCTGTGCTGGGTCCTCGGTTTGAATGCGCTGCGCCACGCGTCCTACCTTCCTCACCCCCTCCCCCTCCCATACGTGCCTCTGCCCTCCGCATGACCATTTCGACACGCCCCTCACACACGTCGTGGCCATTTAGGGAGCTCCACCGAAGGCCCCAGTGGTAGCCCAGCCCATTGCGGCACACCCCATCACAGGCTTCGTGGTCTTCTTCTTCCTCCTCCTCCTCCTCCTCCTCCTCCTCCTCCTCCTCCTCCTCCTCCTCCTCCTCATCATCATCATCATCATCATCATCATCATCAGCATCAGCATCAGCATCATCATCATCATCATCATCATCATCATCATCATCATCATCATCATCATCATCATCATCATCATCATCATCATCATATCATCACCATCATCATCATCATCATCATCATCATCATCATCATCATCATCATCATCATCATCATCATCATCATCATCATCATCATCCCCCTCCTCCTCCTCCTCCTCCTCCTCCTCATCATCATCATCATCAGCATCAGCATCATCATCATCATCATCATCATCATCATCATCATCATCATCATCATCATCACCATCATCATCATCATCATCAGCAGCAGCAGCAGCAGCAGCAACAGCAACTGCAGAAGCGTCAACATCATTCTCGGCACCACCATCATCATCAGCAGCAGCAGCATCACCACCATCATCACCATCATCAGCATCATCATCACCAGCAGCATCATCATCACCGTCATCATCAGCACCAGCACATCAGCATCATCAACGAATCATCAACAACAACATCATCATCCTCTGCATCATCATCAGCCTCATCATCATCACAATCATCATCCTCACCCTGATCAGCATCACCATCACTATGTTAATCATGCCGCATCCTCTCTCCCCGAACCGTGGCCAGACGGAGCGCCGAAAGACTAAGATATACAAAGCATTTTCGAACGTCGATGCTGCAGGCGACAGGCTGCTTCGAAGCACGAGGAGTCCAGGCGCCTCGCCCTGCACAAAATAAGTCTTACACGAGCACATTTGACCTTGCAAGTGGTGCGAGCCAGGGTGGACGCGGGCGGGCGTCTTTCGCCATCAAAAGGAGCGGAGCCCACACGGCCACGGAATGCTGGCTGCGACAACGGGTTGGGACAACGGATCTATGCCGCATCCTCTCTCCCCGAGCCGCGGCCAGACGGAGCGTCGAAAGACGAAGATGTACAAAGCACTTTCGAACGTCGATGCTGCAGGCAATATGTTGCTTCGAAGCACGTGGAGTCCAGGCGCCTCGCCCGACTGCCCGTATCTGGCCCTCTGGCCGCTCACGTCACAAAGAAATCCCTCTCCCGTCTGGAGAGGCCTTCCGCAATGCACTTGATGAGGCCAGCTGCCATTCTAACACCGAAATGAGCGAACGGTGACACAGGCACAGGACCCCGAGCATCGCCTCTGCATCTGCACGGGCCCCCAGCCAAAGAAGGCCACCCGAGGCCAAAGAACACACAGTGCACTGGACGATGCATGACACCGCTGCCGAGCGAGCACGGCGAAAGACGGTGGACCCGCTCGCCCGCTTGCTGCAAAAGAAGGCGGGTCTGGACATCTGACAGTTCAGACGGAACGGCTGGCAGCAGACAGATGACAGGCAGGTTCGCGCTTCGGGATGCGCGGAGCTGCGTGCACAAATCAAAAGGGGCGTCAGGACTCGGGGCGGCGGGCCAGGTCAACGTTGCTGCCGAAATCGATAGGGATGAGATCCAGCCCACCAGACGGTGCCTCAAAAAGAAGATGCTAGGTACTTGACATTGATCCAAAGGGCGCCGTGATCAGCGATGGTCGGGGCAGCTCTAGCCAGCTCGCCGCACGAGAACCCCAGCTCCGCGATTAGAGAGCCACGGTACTGGCGGCACAGGCGGCCCGCGCGAGCGACCTCGCGGAGGGCCTCTAGATCGTCACCTGGAGCTCTCTCGGAGTCCTCAGCGCGGTCACCCTTAGCAAGAGCTGGCCCAGCTTGGCCTCGACCTCCTTGGCGAAACAGGCCATCCACTCGGGCGCCTTGTTCAGCAGAGACAGGTACCTGACCTCCCCGGCGCATCTGGCGACCGACTGCCGCCCCGAGCGCCTGAGGATGGACGGCGCGGTCGATGGCCACCGCGTGCGATGCAGCCCCGTGCCTCGCCTGGCACGGGATGACGGTCTCGCTGTAGCCGACCAGCTTGAGGCACTGCTCGAACTTGACCTTGAACGAGCGGGGCGCGAAGCTCCAGAGCGGCTCCAACGGGCGCCGCACGGCGCGGAGCTTGGCGAGGAAGGAAGACCTCCTGCTGCGACAAGGACGCTCCGAAGGACCACGCACCTCTCCCGGGCACAACAACAATGCCCACTTGGGGCATACCCCTCGCCCCGGGCCAACCAACGTCTCGGGGGCCATCGCCAGCGCATCGCTCGGCGGGCGGGGCATCGCGTCCCACGCGATCGCCAGGGCGGCCGCGAACTCCGGGCCCCGCCTGAGGACGTCGGCACCGACCATGGCGAACGCCACGGGCTTCGGGATGGGGTCGAGCGAGCCCACGAACCCTCGGCGGCGAAATCCGCGAAGGGCCGCTCGCGCCTGGGGTAGCCCGCCGAACTTGGCCTTCGGTAGGTCTGGCCTGTAGCGCTGGATCGCCGCCAGCAGCCGAGAGCCCGTCGCCCCGCGCCACCCCCCCAGCACAAGCGGCCCAGGCAATGCGCGAGCAGGTCGAGGCGGCCCGGGGCGACATGCTTCACCGACTCGAGGTTGGCCCACGTCACGAACACAGCAACCACATTATGGAAACTTCTTCTTGTTGCTACCCTTGGACGTGCATTTTACAAGTACGTCAGCCCAAACTCTGCGGCCTCGACCCCGCCGTCTGCGTCGCTCGCTCGCCGCTTCGCCCTCTCGGCCTTCAACAGTGCTTGGCGGGGCTTCCCCGCAGTGCGTAGATGACGAAGAACTGGCCCTGTGGCCCCGACCTGCCGCACGACACGGAGACGACGGAGCACTCGCGCCGGCTGCGCCTCCGCTGCCCCGCGGCGCGCGGAAGCTCTCGACGTCGAAGCCGTCGCCCGACCCGTCGCGCGCGACGCGGCCCCGGGCGTCGGCACCACCCTCCTCCAGGGAGTGCTGGATGCCGAGCTTGGCGCACTTGCGCTCGCCGTCGGGGTCGAACTCGCGGCAGTCGAGCCGCCCGACCTCCACGAGCATCGCCCTCTCGAAGGCGGCCCTGGCTCGCCAGCGCCGCGGGGGGCCCAGCTCGAAGCGCCCGACGGGCGGGGCCACAGTGCGAGAACCCTTGTCGCTGCTGTTCCAATCGCTCGGGAGCAAGCGAACGGCTGCGGTCGAGTCGCCGAACAAACACGCGACCGCCAACTCGCGGCACGAAGAATTGAGAAGGGGAGATGACGCTCTTCCTCTCACCAAGGCCAAAAATAAACTCATACTAGCGCAAAGTAAAAGCTGCATCGCCCCTCTCGATCGGATGTCTCCAAACCGACGCCAAACCCCGAGCGGGGCCCCCATTCCCTCGAGCCCCAGGGCACTCTCAGGCCGAGCCCAGCGCCCGAAGAGGGCGGAGGTCCAGGCGCCCAGCGGGAAGACTAGGTTGGTGTCGAGGCCCGCGAAGTCGCACTGCGTCTCGCGGTCCGCGGTGAGGCCGTCGGAAGCACTCTCGCCCGCACAGGTAACCACCTTCTCAGCGCAGCCCTCGTCCTGGTCGTGGCTGGCCCGCTCAAGGCCTGCCGCGAGCTGGCTCGAGAAGGCATGTTCGCGGGCCGCAGCTGCACCTGCCACGAGGTAGCGCCAGCGCTCGGACCGCCTCGCGGCGCCCCACGCCGCCTCCGTGGGCCAGGGGCGCTCGGCGACGCCGAAGCCGCCGAAGAGCGCGCCCTCGGGGTCGCCGCCCCCTGCCGAGGCGCCCGCGCTCGCCACGAAGGGGTCGATGGAACGCCTTGTCGAGGCAGGCCAGCCCCAGCAGCGCACCCGCAGCCCGCAGCTCGGAGGCCACGTCGGGCCACAGCCGCCACGCGTTGCCCCCCGCCCTGCGCGCGCACCGATACACAGCATTGAAGACGGAGAGGAGGGGGCCCCTCAAGAGCGCAGCCCAGCTGTTGCGGCCGACGAGCTGGAACACCGCGCGCCCAAATACACACTTCTGAGACGCCAGCTCCAACAGTGGGAGACGCATATTCCACGGGCGGCCGGGCGACAGGCGCGCCTCGCCCGTGGCTCGCTGGAGGACCAAGCCCACGATTGTCTGCTCGTCCGCGGTGGTGGCGTTGTCCTTGCAGCGCAGACCGCTAGCCTCCAGCTCGCGCACGACAGCTGCAATGCCGTTCCGAACCTGCTGCCTCTTCGCACCCACCACGGCCACGCCGTCCACGTAGGTAGCGACCGCGGGGCCGATGGCAACGCCCTTCACCACGTGCTCGTCACTGATCATGCCCTGATCGCGGAACCCCGCCTTCAAGACATGTGCCAAGACGACGTGCCGGCAGAAGTAGAGGGACCAGTTCTAACCCATCGACAGCACGACCAGGCGGGGGGCGGTCTGCTTCCCGATGGTCACCTCCACGGGTAGCGACGGATCGATCTTCACCAAGTCCGACACGAGGACACTGGGCAAGACCATGAGCTCGGACAACCCCGCTGGCGCCTCCATGCGATGGAAGGCGGCCTCAATATCCACATGCTCGACCACCACCTCATCGCCCTCGCGGGTGCGAAGCCCGCTCCACGCCTCAGCAGTCGGCAACTCCACCGTGGCAGGATCATGGAGTAAGAGTTGACCAACCAGGCGGCGCCCCCCATCGGACTTCGCGACGAAGAAGGGCGCGATGGTACAGGCGGCGTCCTCTCCGAAGGTGGTCATCCCAGCCTTGAAGAGGCGCCTCAAAAACTCACAGCAAGCCAACTTGTCTCGACGTCGAACCTCGTCAACGTGAGGACGCATTGCCGAAGAACGTTCCTCCTTCGGGCGCGAGAGTCTGGCCTTCCAGTCGCGCCACAAGTCGCTCGCCTCCCCAACCAGGTGCTCGCCAGGCTTGCACTTGATGTCATCCAGCGGAAGGGCGACCGAGTCAACGGCGAACGTGGCTGGCGTCGCAGGCTCCTCGAGGTAGCCCGGGGCACTGCGGCGCAACTCACTCAGAGCTGCCGCCGAGCTAACGGGCGGCGGGCCCAGCGAAGCCAAGCGGCTCCGCCAGTCCAGAACACCCGCGCGCTGCGAAAGAGAAGGCAGTTGAAGTCGGGGCTGCCCTCCTCGCCGCATAGCCAGTCGACCGCCGCCAGGCACTCCACCGTCCAGGAGTTGACGAAAGCGTTCTGAACAGCCCGTCGTCTGCGGCCGCGTCTCGGAGCCGCGAGAACGCCAAGCCTCGGTGACTCGAAGATCGCGGACGCCGCGCGCAGCGGCATGGGCAAGAGATCCCGCTGAACGACCACGGGAAAGGGGAGCAGCTCACTTGCTGCCAGGCGGGCGGCCAGGCTCGCCGCCATTAGAGCCGGCCTTGCCTGGGGTGGCGATCTGAGCCTTCCACTTCGTGATCTCCGAGCGCTGCTCGTCGACCAAGCTCTGTAGAGCCGCCTGGCCGCCCTTGCCCTCCTTGCTATTTGCCGATGCCCGATGCTCGGCACGCCCCCCCCCCCCTCATCTTCCGCCGCCCCTTCAGGATGGCGGCCCCCGTCTTCCACTTCTCTGACACGTAGGACAGCAGGGAAGGCGAGACCATGACCAAGCCTCGCGTCTCCCCGACGCCCAAGAAGAGGTGGGCATCCTCGAGGAGCTCGTCGCCCTGGCTGGCGCCGATGGCTCGCCCACGACGCCTGTACTCGCACATCTGCAACTTCCGAGACACCAGCTCCATGCACGCCAGCTCGGTGATATTCAACTGATCGTACACTACAGCCATCTGTAAGAGTCAGCAACACAATTCGTGATCCACAACTGATTGATCACCCGCTGCCAGGCCCACCTCGGAACGCCACTTGGCGCGTCGGCTCCGCGGGGCCACATCATGGCCACGGATATATCTCGCAACCCAAGACGTCGTCCTCGGACCTGAGATGGGGAACTTCGGCCACTCCGTCTCGGAGAACTCGCTGACCGCGTCCATCCAGCCCAGGTGTCTGCCCTCCTCTGACGTCTTGCGGATTCCCAGCACCCGAGCGTCCAGCGACGCATCCTTGGGCGCCTGGGTGGAGTAGATCACCGCATAGCCGTGGTACAAGGCAAGGCCGATGCCCGACATCGTGAAAGACAGCATAGCCTTCAAATCCGTGATCTTCCCGAGGTACTTGTCACCAGTAGCTCCCGCAACATACCAGCGATCGGGAGACGGGTCGGGTAGACCCTCCTCTACATGAACATCAAGTGGCAACTCAATAACCTCGCCCGAGCTCTTCAAGAGCCTGTGGTGAAATAACTTATCCGTCTGGTCGGGGTTCTTCGACGCTGGAGCCTAGGCTGGCTGCCCTGGCTCCTCTGCCTCGGGTTCCTCCGGGGCGTCGGAGTGTTTGAGGGACGTCCGAAACATCACGTCGAAGCTGATCCCTGTCACGAACTCCAAGCGCTCGAGGGGACCCGAGCTGGCGTCCAATCATCGAGGCGGGGCGGCCACGGCCCCTCCGATCGAGCTCCATCGCGCTGTATACTCCTTTGACGTGCAGCATGTGTGGATACGTATCGCCGTCGAGCGTGGCCGCCCACCATAGACACTCCACTCCCACCGTCGCTGGAACTGTCCTGCCCATCACTGACTGGAACCCCTCGGCGGTGGCGGGAGCGATGAGAAGACACACCTGGGGAGACTTGCCACGCTCCCACTGCACTAGCATCCGCTGCCCTGCCTTCAGCACCATTCCGTCGACAGCTGAAGAGACAAGAGCGGCCGAGCAGGAACCCCACGGAGACGCCGATCCAGAAGACTAAGACCAGCGCGCCTTGCACGCTCCCGACGAGGTCCGCCGCCGCAGCACACACGGAAGCCTGGCTCACGAAGTCAGCTGTGATCGGGGAACCCACTATGGCAGAGCCGAATCTCCAGGTCGCTCCTCCCAGCGTGGCCACTGCCACCGATGCAAGCGAACCGAAGGACATGAACGGCCGCTAATTAATGTTTTGAGCCATCAAAAGGAGCGGAGCCCACACGGCCACGGAATGCTGGCTGCGACACTGGGATTGGGACAACGGATCTACCATCATCATCATCATCAGCAGCAGCAGCAGCATCATCATCACCATCATCACCATCATCATGATCAGCAGCAGCATCATCATCACCATCACCAGCATCACCATCATCATGATCAGCAGCAGCATCATCATGTTCTTCATCATCATCATCATCATCATCATCATCATCATCATCATCATCACCATCATCATCATTATGATCATCAGCATCATCACCACCATCGTCATCATCATAGTCATCGTCGTCATCATCATCATCATCATCATCATCATCATCATCATCATCATCATCATCATCATCATCACCCACCCCTACTCCTCCTCCAACTCCTCCTCCTCCTCCTCCTCCTCCTCCTCCTCCTCCTCCTCCTCCTCACCCACCCCCTCCTCCTCCTCCTCCTCCTCCTCCTCCTCATCCTCATCCTCATCCTCATCCTCATCCTCCTCATCCTCCTCATCCTCCTCATCCTCCTCCTCCTCCTCCTCCTCCCCCTCCCATATGGAAATCCCCCTACTTCGCACCACCTGACACGCGGCACTCACATCTGCATACGGCTGGGCTCTTCGCCAGGAGGATTCCACGGCCCCAGAGGCCCGGCTAAGGCCCCTGGAGGCTGGAAGAATTACCAAACTAACCTCCCGTCGTGATTTCTGTGCGCGGCGCGCGGAGGTGGGGAGCCCTCGGGCCGACTGGTCGCCGGCTGCCGCCGAGAGGCTCCAGAGCAACGGCGGTGTCGCGGCTCGGTCGGCGGCTGGCGACTCGAGGCCCGAACTGGCAAAAAAAAAAGATGGAGCGGGTGGGGAGGCGAAGGCCCCAGGAATGCGAAGCTGTCTGGTCTTGCCCTGCGAGCTGACCTCGCCCGCAGCGCCGTGACTTTGAGGCATTTCGCAGCCTCCTGGCTGCCAGCGGGGACGCCCCCAGCCACCCTCACACCCCTTTACCCCCGTTCCCCCCCTCCCTGTCCCTCCTCTCTCGCCCTCTTCCATCCCCGGGCCTCCGGCGTCATGCTCTGTTCAAAATGTCGACCCCCAGAGGTCCAGAGGTCTGGACCCCTTCCCGGGGGCTGGCTTCTCGTCCTGAATCGTTTTTGACAGCCCCGAGGCCCAGTGAGGTTCCCAGAAGCCGGAAATCATGTCAAGTCCTCCGTCATGAGCTCTTCGTGGCCCGAGAGTTGTAATTGGCTGATGGGGGAAGGATGGGGAAAGAGATGGGCTTCCCGGGAATGAGATAAAGTTAGGGCTTGGGTTCGAGCGGAGGGAGAGTTAGAAGCTCAGGTTCGGAAACCAAGGGAATCAAGAGTTCGAAAAAAGTTCAGGGAGAGCTCGAAAAAATCACATGGCTTGACAGACGTTGGAAAAGTCTGAAAATATAGCCAAGTTCCAAAGTTCGGAAAAACTTTGGAAAGTTTGGAAAAGCTCGGAAAAGTTCGAAATACATTCGGCAGTTAACCGAAAGGTTAACACGCGCTCCGGATACTCGGAACTTCTTCGCCGCCGCGCTTGAACCTTGAAAAAACGTAGGCCTCGAACTGTTCCCGCCGGGCTCTGATCATTGTATTAACAAGAGGCCCGTTCGAACCCCCCCTGCCAATTACAACCCGAGGGGGGCTGGACTCCCTCACCCTCATCCATCCCCTTCCTGCCTCCCGTCGTCGCCGCGCGAAGCTCCGACGACCCCGCCCCCCCTGGGCATCGGGCTGCAGAGCCGTGGGCTCTCGAGACCCGAGCTGGGAAGATACGGCACCCCAGGAGCACCACGCGGCGAGGCGCAGCCGCTGGAGGGCACCCCGAGAGCAACAGCTCCGGAAGGCTGCAGTGCGCATGCGGTGAGTGTGGCACAGCGGCGCTGCACACGCGCAGCTGGCCTCCGCGAGGGCGCTGTGCCCGAGCAAGGTGTGAGGATCCACTCGCCAGGCCAAATTAGAAGGAACAGACTACTGAATTCATTCCTGACCCGGCCTGACCCCCCTTTTCATCCCAGGGGCGGGCCCCATCACGTTCAGCACGTCCCGGAAGTTCAGCCCCACCGCGCGCACCCTCATCGGCGGCACGCAGGAAGAGACCCCGAGCAAGAGTGACCCCCTCTGGTGCGCTGCTGTAGGGGCCCGCAGGGGAGCCAAATCCAAGCGCGCAGGCCGCTTCAAGCAAATGCTGGGGGGACCTCAGAGGGGGGGAACGAGGTACCGATACCACTACTCCCCTGACCTCTCCTGGGGTGCGGGCTGACCAGAACTCCGAGAAGCATCTGGCTGTGTCGACGAGAGATCTCTAGGGAGGTCAGCGGTATCGGTACTGGGATGGGCGCGGGGGTGGCTAAGGGGAATAGGGGGGGTGTCAGTGGATGCCAAGGTGTGTTATATCTGGCCTAACCTAGCTCCCTAGTGGGTTGCTAATGCACCAAGTGGCTTGGGAGGGATAGCCATCCAGACTAAGTGGGCTCCGCCCACCTAGCGGAGTTCTCGTATCCCCCCTAAGCTACTCGGGGCATGAGAGACCCACTCACAAGCTAAGTCGGGCCAGATAAAAACCTGTTGGCGTCCAATGATCACCCCCCTATCCCCTTGGCCACCCACGCGCTCATCCCAGCACCTCCTCCTCCTCCTCCTGAACCACGCCGGGCCCGCACCGAGGGTCACTCTGGCGAAGGGCCACCCCGACGGCGCAGCCGACCTCAGCTGCACGCACTGCGGCGGCGCCGGCCGCCGCCCGGCCTGCGGCACCGGGCGCAGCCCTGTCAGCGAGCCGCGCACAGGCATGTTGAGGCGCAGCGGCCCGAGCACCTTGGTGGCGCTGCGCTCCTCGTGGCCAACGCACAACACACACTCGAGCTTCTAGGGAGGAGGAGTGGGGAAGGGCAGGGCGATGAACGCGCTGCAGGTGTGGGTGCGAGTTGTCGGACCCCGAGGAGGTTCCCGTTCGAGCAGGGACCCCCATCCGACAACGCGCACCCACAGCCCCCCTCCCAGAATGGCACCCCGGGAATTCTGCAGGACGTGTAGGTATGGGTGTGAGTTGTCAGCTCGGCACCTGGGGGGACGCCGAAGGACATACTAGTGCTGTGTGCTGATGTTGGAGGCGCACGTCTGACACGAACCTGCAGTACCCAAATCCTATAGCAGTATATGCTTTCCCCAGCGCCATGGCCAGAAAGACCCCGCCACTGAGCGTGTACTAATTATATGATTTCTCAGCGAGCGCGTCGCCTTAGCGGGGCCGATGCACAGATTGGATAAATGAGAATGTTTGGGCCGCGCACCTTGGTGGCGCTGCGCTCGTGGGAAAATCGGTACGATCGACAGGTACACGCTCCCAGCGGTTTTCCAGCTCTGGGTGCGTTCCAGCAGCTGAGCCTCGCCGCAGGGCGTTCCCGGGGTGCCCGGATCGTCCCGAATGGCCGCTGGAGAGCCGAGTTATGGCCCGAAAGTCAGACATCCAGCGTCAGCTACGATCGAAATGGGTACGGCAGGTTCGTGTCGTTTCGACCCCAGCGTTGGTTCCTCACACCGCGGGGATCGCTCAGCCTTGAACGATTGGCCGTCTCCGAAGCGTCAAATCGCTCAACATGGACCGATTCTGGGTCGACGGCGGCGTTCAACGTTGACCGCTGGCGGCGGGGTCGCCGGCGGTCGACACGACGCGAACCTCTCGTACGGAAAGAATGGGCACGAAGACCGACAACAGTTCCTGTTCCTTTGAAGAGGATTCGCTGTCGGTGTCGCCGCGGACGTTGTCCATTCAAGACAGAAGGCCACCTGCCCAACAGCGGCCGCTGTCGGTATTGGACAGCATCTGCTGTTGGGCCTCGTACCCATTCTTTCCGTACCCATTCCGGGCGTCCAAAGGAGAGGGGCGTGAAGCCAAGATCGCCGACGATGTGGTATCTGCAATCCTGGCGTTTCTCCTTGATCTCGACATCTGGGGCCCGTTTTCGGGCCGCACTGGGATGGGCGCGGGTGTGGCTCAGGGGATAGGGAGGTAATCAGTAGACGCCAAAGGAGGTATTCCTGGCCTAACATAGCCTATAAGTGGGTTACACATGCACCAAGTGGCTCAGGGAGATTAGGCATCTCCGCTAAGTGGGCGGAGCCCACTTAGACTGGATGGCTATCACCCCCAAGCCCCTTGGGGCATTAGCGAACCACTGATGAGCTAGGCCGGGCTAGGTACAGCCCACCTTGGCATCCACTGATAACCCCCCCCATCCATTTCGCAACCCCCGCGCCTATCCCAGCGGAGACCATCAAAAATGGATCCGGCACGAAACGTGCCCCCTGCCCCGTGGGAATGGGGCGGGACCTGTTGGGACGCGCACTGAAGAAGGCACATAGTCGGATGCCTTGAAAGGAAGCCCCGCCCCCGCGCCCCTCTCCCTTTCTCCGCGGCCGCCTTCTCTTCCCTCCAATATTCCGCTCTCGCGTGCGGGCCCGATCGCGACTCCGCAGCGAGCGGGGGTGTTGCTGCACGCGCGAGCGGGCTACCCCTGCCGCGCCGCGCCGCGAAAAAAAGGTCTCGAGGGAAACCCGCGCGGCATCGCGCCAGGCTGGCGGCGAGGCCCTCCTGGGCGGCCGAGCACAGCCCGGGCCTCCCATCGCCGTGGACAACCACTAACAACAACAGCAACAACAACAGCAAGGCATTAACGCCTATGTGCGCCCCTCTCCCAAGGGGCACAGGAGTCCGGTCACTCTATTCGCATGACCGAACTCCTGTGCCCCTCCCCACCAACGAGGGGGGGGCAGCAGCCAACAGCCAGCAGTCATACAAACAACTAACCACAAAATCCGCTGGGACCCATATAGGGGTCAAGTCGGCCCTGCCTTCGCCAACCGGTCGCGCGCTAACGAAGCAACACCTCTGGTTGCCTCCTCTAATGGGGTCATGTTAGGGATGGACGGAGGTCGAATAGCATCATTACGGATGGATTGAACTCTAGGGGATCACGTTAGGAGTGGATGGAATTCGTATAAGATCCTGTTTGAGATGGATGGAACACGTTTAAGAACCTCTTAGGGACGGATGGAACTCTAAAAAAAACCTGTTCGGAGTGGTTTCAACTCTAATACTATCCTGTTGGGGATGAATGGAACTCAGGTGGGATCATGTTAGGAAGGATTGAGCTCGAAAAGGATCCTGTTATGGATGGATGAAGCTCTAATAGGATCCTGTTAAGGATGGATGGAGCTCTAATAGGATCCTGTTAGGGATGGATGAAGATCCAAAGTAATATCCTATTAGGGATGGATGGGACTCTGCGAGGGATGGATGGAGCCATAATAGGATCCAGTTAGGGATGGAGATCTAATAGGGTCCTGTTAGGGACGGATGCAGCTCTAATAGGATCCTGTTAGGAACGGATGGAGCCCTAAAAAGATTATGTTATGGATGGGTGGAGCTCTAATAGGATCCTGCCAGGGACGGATGGAGCTCTAATACGACCCTGCTAGGGATGGATGGAGCTCTAACAGGATCATGTTAGGAGTGGATGGAACTCTAACAGGGTCCTGTTAGCGATGGATGGGGCTCGAATAGGATCCTGTTATGGATGGATGGAGCTCTAATATGATCCTGTTAGGAATGGATGGAGCTTGAATATGATCCTTTTAGGGATGGATGGAACTCTCATTGGTCAGATTGGGGATGGACGGAGCTCTACTCAGATCCTGTTAGGGATCGGTGGAGCTCCAATAAGACCCTGTTGGGGATGGATGGAGCTCGTATGGAAACAATACGAGTCAATTAGAATTAACCGAACCAAAACGAATCAAAACAAAACAATACGAACCAATACGAATGGGAGAATATATGGGGATCTAGAAGGAACGATAGAAATCAATAGGAAGCAATTAGAATGAATAAGAACCAATTAGAAGCAATGGGAACCAATAGGAACCAACTAAGACCTATGAGAATAAATTAGAATCAGCAGGAACCAATTAGAATCACTCAGACTAAGATCAGTTAGAAACAACTAGGTTCGATAGGAACCAATGAGAATCAACTAAGAATCAGATATAATCAATGGGAACCCATGATAGGAACAAACAAAAAAAATCTGGGAAATTCTTAAAATCAATACGAATCGAGTAGAATCAACAAGAACCACTGAGACCAAATAGAAATCAATTCGAATCAACAGGAACCAATAAAAATCGCATAGACTCAATGTGCATCACTTAGAACCAATAGGAATCGAAGGGGATCCAAAGAGATCAATGATAATCGGTAAGAGGCAATGGGAATTATTGTAAACCCATAGGAGTCAAAAGGAATGAATTTGAGTTAATGGGAATGAATGAGAATCAGTGAATAAATTGGAAACGATGGGGAATCAAATAGAAACAATGGCGGCCAATAAGACTCAAATATAGCCAATGAAAACCAATGGGAGTCTAATAAAATCAATGGGGATCAATCGGAATCGCACACTATCAATTGGAACAAACTAGAACCAAGCGGTATCAAATAGAGACATCAGGAACTAATGAAGATCAATCGGATACATTGATAGTCAATATGAAACAATTAGAAACAATGAAAATCAGTTGGCACCAATAGTAATCAATTCGAATGCATACGAATCAATTATAATCGCTGGGAATCAAGTAGAACCAACGGGAATCAAGTAGAACCCATAGGAATCAAAAGAAACCAATAGGGATCAGTTGATGTCAATAAGAATCAAATAGAAAAAAACACAAATAATACCTGGTAATCAAATAGACCCCAAAGGAATCAAATACAAGAAATAAGAATCACCTACCATCAATAGGAATCAATCAGACCCAATAGGAACCCATGAAAATAAATTATGAAAAAAAATAAAATCAAAAGAACTCAATGAGAACCAATCAGGATCAATCGGAATCAATAAAAGTCAAGAGGAACCGATTAGAATCAACCACAATCAATGAGACCCAACAGGACTGAAGTCAAATCAACAGGAATCAATGAGAATCAAATAGTATCAATGTGCATCACTTAGAACCAATAGAAGTCGAAAGGGATCCATAGAGATCAATTATAGTCGGTAAGAGGCAATGGGAATTACTTAAAACCCATAGGAGTCAAAAGGAATGACTTTGAGTTAATAAGAATAAATGAGAACCAATGAATAAATTAGAAACAATGGGGAATCAAATGGATACAATGGCGGCCAATAAGACTTAAATATAGCCAGTGAAAACCAATGGGAATCAAATAAAATCAATGGGGGTCAATCGGAACCGCACACTATCAATTGGAATCAACTAGAACCAAGCGGTATCAATTAGAGACATCAGGAATTAATGAAAGTCAATCGGAACCAATGATAGCCAATAGGAAACAATTAGAAACAATGGAAATCAATTGACACCAGTAGTAATCAATTCGAACGCATACGAATCAATCATAACCAATGGGAATCAGGTAGAACCAACGGGAATCAAGTAGAACCAATAGGAAGCAAAAGAAATCAATAGGGATCAGTTGATGTCAACAAGAATCAAAAAGAAAAAGTCAAAAATAATACCTGAGAACCAATTAGACCCCAAAGGAATCAAATAAAAGAAATAAGAATCACCGAACATCAATAAGAATCAATCAAACCCAAAAGGAACCCATGAAAATAAATTAGGAATGAATTAAAATCAAAAGAACTCAATGAGAACCAATCAGACTCAATCGGAATCAATAAAAATCAAAAGGAACCAATTAAAATCAACCAGAATCAATGAGACCCAACAGGACTGAAGTCAAATCAACAGGAATCAATGATAATCAAATAGTACCAATGTGCATCACTTAGAACCAATAGAAG